TATGTAAGATCTTATGTACTAAATTGTATAGTAATATTTATAACACTTACAGTTTATCTTTTAAGTTTACAGTATCTTTTGAACATGATAGTAGGAGGTTAAGTAGATATGACATATGTTGTATGACAGTAGTTTTCTAAGTATAATAGTAACCCGTTATATTATCAAACTATAGTCTACATTAACTCAAACAACGTTAAAAGTTTTATAAATCGTATTTATGTATGTATTTATATTCGTTAAATTAACGTTAGTTTTATGGGAATTGCGCATGGTTTTACAACAAACGGAATCCTAAATCTGTCTGAACAATCATTCTAATATCTTATAAAATATTTTCTTTGTAAAATAGCTTATTATAAAATTAAAGAGTTATTAATTGACAATAATATATTAGTGAACAAAACTTTAAATTCATAGTGCTGATAATATTATCAGATTGCACAAAGAATTTTAATAACGTATCATTATTACAAAGATTAACGCGAGTTTCTTTTTCGTTCTTCTTTAGATGAGCTTCCAAATGAGTGGTAGAATAGAAAAATATGAATATTCAAAAGTGCTTATATTAAGTTTATTTGAATAAAGATTATTTCTATTTCAAGTGTCTGTTGAGTCCATGATGTTGATCATGATTAGTGTCGTATATAGGTCCTTTATAGTACCTTAAAAGCGATGAGGAAATAAGAAGCCTATAGGTGCAAACGACTGCAAAATATTATTGTTCAATTAGTTTCCACATTTGATCTTCCTTCCCTTCATATGTTTGATGATTTCATGAACTATTTACGTCATACGTATTAGGTGTTCTATATAACGAAAATAAATATTATACAACCACATATTAATTACTCAATAATATTATTACCGACTAATTATATAGGTAGATAATTAATACCGCTGTCTTTCCATGGGTATTCTTATTTTGTCCAGTAATTAACGACTTGGTAATAATTATTATTGTCGTAAATGAAGCCGACAAACTTAAAAGGTGAGTCACTGTTATATTGGTATTTAGGATTTACTACATAAGCTATGGAACCTAACTGTATAGAAATTAGTGAAGTGTTACCCAAGTAAAGCATTAAAAAAAAATTTTTCTGGGAGATGAACTTAGCATGCTTATTATTTTATTAAATTTTTATGATTGTACTGAAGATAACTGTACCGTTTTTTTAATCAGTAACATCACGCAGACAATGCCTCAGGATGTAGGTAGTGATAAATAAGTAATACTGAACATATCACATAGTGGTATCAATTTATTTGTCAAAGTCAGTATGACACAATAAGCTACATAGTAATCACACATACAATTTGACAAGCTCATAAACACAAAGACAAAATACTTTTAGTTAAGAAAAGTTTTTATTTAAAATATCCATAATGAACGAAGCAGCATACGATATAGTAAGTGTCAGGTATCGTAAATGGTTAAGCGAGAAAACTTAATAAAACAAACAAACTTTTACATTTCTGTAAGTTCTGACCGTAGTTTCTAAATACATATCTATTTTAATAGTATATATGTGAATAAAATAGTATGTATGTTTGTCTGGCTTTTCATCACCTGTCAAATTTCTCTAAAAACATCTCGAATTGCATTTAGATTATTTCTAATCTCAAAGAACGCAGCCGAATCCGCTGGTATCAGTTAGTTCATTATAAAATTACAAGATGTAAATCCTGTCCTATTACGACTAAGACAGAAATTCGCCGACAATAACTCAACCAAACCCAGCACCGCTTAGTAGCCCGCAGTAATTCAGTGGCGAAACTCTGTCAAAACATCTTAAGCCGCCCCCCACAACGCAATTAATGTACATTAACACCTAAGATGAGATAGGTGGTTGTTTTATAATATCGCATAATATGGGGATGCGCCCGAGACGTTTGCGGTTACATTATAGAGGCGATTGGGTTACATATACACACGGCTGACTAGTTTACTGAACAAATCGTTTTATAGTATTTAAATGCATCAGTGAAACCGCCATAGCCTAGTGTTTTACTACAGCGTCGTCTAAAGGTCGTGATTTCAAATCTAGCTGCCACTAAACAAACTTTTTTTCTATTAATATTTCTGACTGACTGTATGTTAAAACACCCATATTAAACAAAAAGTAATTCGGCAGACATTAAGCTCACCCTTCGCCTCGTTGGATCCAAATATATCGAGCAAAATGTGGGCGTCTCTACAATTGAGTTCAAAATGACGTCAACAATCAATATAACAGGATAATCAATATAAATATATAGATACTGGTTTATATATTACTTTTATTACCTCTCTATTCTACTCGAAATCATGTTCTGATAAAAATAGCCGACATCCTCCATTCGAATTTGACCTAAATTACAAGCTTCATGCTTATTGGCTATGTTGTCAAAGTAGCAACCAAACTAAGTTTTACATTTATATACTTAGGATGAATATTTAAATTTTAACGTTAAGAGTTCTCAAAACGATTATTTACAATAAAATAATATCAAAAGTATATTATGTTACATATTATTTTTTAGATATACAAAAAATAATATATATTATATTATTTTTTGTTATAATATTGTTATGTAGGCAGATATTAACATTAACTTCATTTGATGTTCACCAACCTGGCAGTCCGTGTGTATAATAAGGCCCTTCATGAATATAAGATGTTGCGGTGTTCGCAGCGTTGTCTCACTAACACTTAAGTCGTTGTGAGATTCTCTGAGACCGTATTACACTTAACCCTCAACTGATATCACGATTTTTATTAACTCTTGTGTTATTTTCCTATTAACATAGCATCTATGTTCGTTTTAGGCCTTGATTCATTTAACACCAAAGAGTTCTTTTGCATTTTACATTAATAACATTTCTATAAAAAAAAAAGTTATATTAAAAACCTTCTTTACTTTGTACTTTGTTACCTATTAAGTTTAAAGTAATTATCGGTTGCAGAATTGTCAATATATAGTCACAGATCTAATTGAGAACTGCTTACTTATTGAAAGTGGTTAAATAAATATTTATAGTAGAAATTTATAGTATAAAATCACAGATTTTTGATAATAATCCTATTTTTATTTAAGGGCCAAAACACAACCGCAAATTAAATGAGTTCGAACTGAGAAGTGCATTCTATTTTAAAATAATTTTATAGATGCATTTCTAATTATAAATAATATAAAATAAAATCGTAGCTTTTATGTTAATAGCTATTTATCATAAATAAAACAATCAACAGAAAAACATTTACACAATTTGCAGTAGAGGTAACAACTGTAAGATAATGAAAAGAGACAATGAAAATGTTGCGAATCTTCAGTAAAAAACTATATTCTTTAAGCTTTAGTTTTTAAATATACTTAAACAATAAAATATTATGATTTTTTAAACAATTTAAAAAATCATATGTTTATTTATTTAAAGCAATTTATTTCTAATCTTGCAATATATCGTTCATATATTCATATTATCATTTACAATGACGTGTATTACAAGGTGGATTACAAGTTAATATCGTGTAAGATAATATTGATGATTTGGTTACACGTTTGAATATATCAATATGATAATTGTACAGGCTTATGTTAAGATTAAATGTAGAAAATTTAATGATTGATTCAACCGATAAATCACCATAAAACCATATTTTATATTTTATTATTAAACGTTTTGTAAGTGCGCATTATGGTTTTTTTTTTTATTTGATTTGTGTAAATCTTCTAAATATATGTTTTATTAACTAGTGTGTTACTTTGGCTACGCACGAGTACAGTGACGGAGGATACATAATACACAAATAAATTTCTGGAATACTGTGTTGATGAAAATCGTATAAGAATAAGAAAGAAGTAAACAGAAGAAGTGAGCAAAGATCAATCAATCTGACGGTCAATAAATCAATAATTTTATTAATATCAATCACCGACTACGCGCGCGTGACACCTCTGTTGTTTCAGATGTCTGTAAATGGTAAATAGTGGTAACCGTTCCATCTGATGGGCCGTATGCTTGTTTGCTACCATCGTGGTGTAAAGAAAAAACAAATACCGACTTTGTTGTATACTATGTCAACATATTTTGTTTTTTTTAAGTAAACAAATATAATTAGTTAATATTGTAATAATCTTTTTAATATTGTAACCTGAGAAAAATATATACTCATAAACCTATAAATAACGAAATAATTGTAGCATTTACAAGAATAAATATTACAATAAATTATGAATATTAATTAATATAAAAGAAAATATAGACGTAGGCAGGTAAGAAGCCACTTCATATCCTGAAGGTATTTTGTATATTTGTCCAATTATAAATTATAATTACTTATATATCCAATAAGTCGAAGGTATTTTCCTAGGTACCCATTAGTGAAGGTTTATTTCAAGAGATGCACAATATATAAACATTTATGTATTATTTATTTCAGTTATATTAAATGGATCGTATAATTAAGAATGATATCTATATATGTAATTTGAATTAAAATAGCTTGAAGCTATTTTTATTTTTTACCTACAGAAACTATACAAGTATACATATTTTGTATAATTATACATATAATCTAGGCCTTAAGCTAAGCTTATGTTAAGGGTACTAGAAAACTGATAGAAATACTGAAATACATTTCTTTTTTGTAAACACATACATAATATACATAGAAAACACTCAAATCATACGGGAATCAAAGCTGCGATTATTGGAAGTAAGACGGTGTACTAAACTGCTAGACTACATAGACCGTGAAATTCAAAATGCCCGTCTCTTAAATTACTTTAGTGTTTAATTGTATTCAATGTTTTCACTTGACTTTGTATAACAGTTATCAAATGGAATCATCTGGAACTACTACCACATATCCTCACGACTAAAATACTAAATGAGGTATAATTGTATCGCCATCCATAAACATAAACTATTATATCTAGTTATATTAAACTTAGTTAAACTATTATAAGACGATAAAAAGGCTTTCTTTTGACTATAATGCAAATAAAGTACTCACCTGTGTGTATGTACGTGTGTTTCTTCATGTCAGATTTTTGATGGAACCTTTTTCCGCAGTACTGACAAGGGTAGGGTCTGGTGTCCGAGTGAATCAGAAGGTGGGTGGACAGGGTACTTGATCTTTTGAACGTTTTGCCACATTGCTTGCATTCAAATACTTTTTCCACGCTGTGGACAGCTCTGTAGAAAAATACAGTTATAAGTTTCCATTTTTAAAAGTAAAAATTGACTGTATTGTATATTCTAACATATTCATTTGACGGCCTTAGTGGTTCAGCGGTTTAGCTCACCGCTTTACTTTCAATAGTCACGGATTCGATTCCTCGCACGGTAAAAATATTTGTATTCATGAGTATGATTGTATCGGCCTGGATGTTTTCTATCTATATTATGTTTATTAACAAGTAAGTAAAAATTTATAGTAAGTATTTAAGATGTCTAGTACTATTATTATGTTATCTGTGCTAGTACCTACTCATAACATCAGTTCTGCTTATTTGGGTACTAGTTGACGTGTGATTTGCCCAGGGGTATTGATATTATATTCTATGTGTGTAATAATATGTGAAAGTAATATTCAATACATTATAATTTTTTAATTTACTAAGCGGTTTTTCTTATACTTTCTGATGCGAAAAAACAGATAACAAAAAAATTAATTTGAATTACGTATATTCACTACAATCTCGACAGTTAATAATACCTCTGACTAATCTATCTAGAATTATAATGTCGTGAAGTTATTTATCGTGAATCGTCGTGAAGTTTCTGGAATTCTCCGGTGAAGTTAATAATGATATAGAGTCAAAATTTATCCGAGAGACGGCACCTATAGACTCGTTCCCTACCACTTTGACAAAGTCTCTGTTTACATCATCTGGGATAACTACCGTGATGGTATGTTTTGTGTATATTATTTACGACTATATCTAATATATAATATATTTAATACATAGTATTAGATACGAACCTGTGTTGGGTGAGGCTGATTTCATGTCCAAAAGTCTTACTGCATTGTTCACAAGCGAAAGGTCGTTTTCCATTATGTGATCTCCTTGCATGAACTTCTAATCCATGTGGCGTACTGAATATCTTCTCACACTTAACACAAGAGAACACGTCTCCTATCGGCAAAGGTCTTGTCAATGGACCTTGAGCTCCAAGTACGGCAGCCCGCAATCGCATTAGTTCCGGTCCTGCTGCTTGTACAGCTTGAAGATAAAAGTTACCGTAGCCGCCCCAACCTGGAAGTCCAAGGCTGCTGGCATCACGCAACAGATCCGCGAAAGGCAATGGTGGATATAAAAAAGGTCGTTGTGGCTGTACTCTGGGAGCATCGGGTCTTAAAAGAACGCTCATAGAAAATGCTTCGGATCTTTTTGGAGGTGTCGAAGAGTCTGGGTGTCTTCTTGGTGATGAGGGGGGTGAATCTACTTCTAATTCAGGGGAACTTGATCTTACTGATCGTGGAGATTGAGGAGAGGGGTTCCAGCATGGACTTCCACAACGGGAGGCAGGTGATACACCTTCAGGTCTTGTTTCATTGTTCTGCATCTCGTCCTCTTCATCATGAATTCTGTCTCCCACCAAACGATTGATGCCGAATTTTATTTCATCTGTAAATGGAAAATATTATTCAGCATTTCAATATTACATAATCATTACATTAAAGGTATTTAATTAAAATAATTGTAATTATATAGTATATTTTCCTTCCTTGTGTAACGGGACAAAAATCCACCTATAATTCCGTATTAATGTCAAAATTCATTATAAATACTCTTTAAGTCTTCTAATTTTCCCATACTAACCACAATTACCTAACTCAGGGAAATTTACACTCTCCGTAAAAACCATTCTATTTTTGAAATAACTCTATTTGTTATTTTTATTTATGCTACTGTAATGGCAGATTACTAATAGATACTGGAAGATGGAGATGGTACCATTCTCTATATACCTACAGGAATACCCCAGTCTGGGCGTCACATAGTCATACTAAGTCCGCTGTACCATCCACGCATAAAGTACTAAGGTATCTCACCAGCAATTGGTGAGATACCTTAGCTGCAAGGAAGCTGGTTGGGGTATACAGGTAAGGCAGAACGCCCACGCAGACCACTTTCAAAATCTATCTCGATAACATTGCGAATGGTATAGTGTAATTCTCCCTCCATTTATTTACATATGAGAACAAAAGATGGACCCCAAGCCAGTGAATAAGCACAGGTGTCACACTTGTCGCTGTACGAAATGAGCCGTATCATGTCGGTGCAGCAAATTGACTTTCATCTGTTACAGCCAACTCAACTCAGCCAACCCCTGTAATTAACACATCGGGTCGCGCGGACCCCAATCTTTTTTACAATACAGTAATCCGCGGGCGCGACTAAACGCATCTATTGCCAACTGCCCATTGTTCACTTCGTTTTGTTTAGTTTACAGCTCGGTGTATTGTTGCTTTTGTGTAACAGAGTATTGGAATTGGAATTGTATAATTGAAATTGCAAATATTAATATGTAAACTTTCTTTATAGAAAATAACTTCTGATGTAGAATCTATTAATTCTTTTAATAATACGTCTTTTACATAATGCTTTATTAATGGTTTATTGGCTTTATTTAATGGTCAAATATTATTTAGTTAGTATTAATTAATTTTTAGGCCATACATTTTAATCTTTACTTATTCTTCCTCTACAGATGTACTACTCTTTATGACATTTCTTCTGAACTTCTCATTTCTTCCATAATTAAAGTTAAATTAAGAAACCAAATCTTCATTACAAATAATGATAGTATTAATTAATTATTTTTAGACTGTATATTTCAATCTTTATTTATTTTACCCGTACAGTTATATTCCTCTTTGTGGCATTTCTTCTGAACTAGTTATAAATATCTCATCATTTCTACCATAATTAAAGTTAAATTAATAAACTAAATCATCATTACAAACGATGTCCTTCTATAAACGTACATTGATCATCAAGGGACCATCAGCGCTGGGCTCACGCTGTCCAAAACAAACATCCATCTCGAGACGAGACAAGTTACGCTAATGAAGAGCGTCCCCTATATCTGAAAAGGAGCAGCTGTCGGCATTTGGAGCGGAACCAATCGGGCAGATTCGTGGCTCTGGCAGAACTCTCCCTACATTCACGCCCGGTGCTCCAACAATGGCCAGCGTTTAAGGGTTGGCTCTGTACACTTGTTTGTTTGTCCCCCGCGCGACACGGTTTTATTACCCCATAGTATTTATAACATATTAATGGTTATTTAGATTCATTGTTCCGCCCCGGCAGTATGCTCGAATTTATGGCTTTGAAAAATATTGAATAGGACCCTATGGGGGTAATGAAGTGAAATGTAAAGAAAGTTATTATTGAGAGTCATTGTACTATTGTGTAATTAGATGATATGATTTGACGGCTTGATTTTGTTTTGTATAATGTTAGGTGAAAAGGAGAATATAATTATTGGGAGAGTATTTGACATAATTTATATGAAATTATCTTGTATATCAACATTTATTGTGAAATAAATCATCATAATCATTCTGTAAAAAGTAATATGCAGTTGAGTACAGTTTATGTTTGTTTTCGGTTACAAATTTACTTTCTATCAGGTGGGCTACTATGTTGGTTGCCACAGATCGTATATTAGAATAAAATATGTTACACCTACTGATCCAATAATAATATTTTTTTTATTTATTCATTTATTTCAGGCAACTAGGCCCATATTATAAATACCTTATAGACTAACATACATATAATATAATATTTAAAAACCAGTACATTGATATTGTCTGTGTGATCACGGCACTGAAGACGGCAATCTGCCACGGTAGCGCCGATATACCACACCTTTCGGCCAGAAGTCCTCTTTCATGAAGGTGGGCAGCAAGTTGGTGGGGATCAGGGCCACAAACGCTTTGAAATTCGCGTTGTGACTCGACTTCAGCTGCGTCACCCTCAATTATGACGGCCTCGGTCTTCTAGCGGTTTATCATACCGTTATAAACCCGGTGGTCCTGGGTTCGATTCCTTGCACGGTGCTAACATTAGAGCTAGTATTCATGCGTATGATTGTTTGTATGGGTTTGGGTATTTTCTATGTATATCATGTATGTTTTTACAAAGAAAGGATCTAGGTATTCATATCAGTTGTCTGTCAGTACCCATAACACTCTCTCTTTCTCATTCATTCACTCTCTCAAAGCTCTGCTTAACTTGGGACTAAATGGCGCATTGTGAATTGTCCAAGAATATTATTATTATTACATATGCAGTTATAAAAAAAAGTATTTAAGTATTTCAATCAGTTATCTAGTAGGTACTTTTATTTTACTCTTCAAATCGAAACCCAGCTTACAAAACAGTGCCTTTGCGATAGAAATAGGTCAGAGGAAGTATGCACAATTGCACAATTTACATAAAGTCTATTTCGGTCAATTAGGTAGAAACATAGTACCACTATAATTAGTCAAAACTCACTCTCAATTATTGCACTTTCACCGAAATTGGATTACAATCCGCCAGTCAAGTGCATTTTTTCGATGTACTTGCATTAGATACATTAACGTCCGCCTATTTTGCTCGCTTAATGCAATTTTAATTATAAAGGCGAGGCCGCAAATTGCTCAGCGATGTATTCAGATTGTTATTTTTCCGGGAGCTTTTAACAAATTAAAAATACGCGCTTGCGGTGTGCACTGTACCTACGAGTCGCGAGTTCGCAATTTGCATTTTCATTGTGGTGGTGTTAAATCGGCCTGCATTCGGTCGGCACAGAGCCCATTGTACGGCAATTCGGCAATCAATACTGCATAATTTGTTTTTGTTGATTTTGGAAAATGTAGGTCACGTTTTTTAGGATTCACTAACTAACGGTATTGATGAGAGGTATAGTTTTGCATTGAGTGGAGTAGATTGTTATCTATTTTGTGTAATAAGAAATGGATTGAGTAATAATGCAGCTCATTTAATTTCTAATATCTAATTATCATAAAAACATTGTGTGAAAACATCAAATATCATCAAAGGTCTTCGAACATAACAATCTCGCTATGGCTGTTTCTTTTATTGACTCTTAAAGTAGTACATGACCTTTTACAGTACCAGAGTAATCTGTTCTCTCCATTCTCAATTTTATACTTAGAAATGTGCCACTTATTGAATCATGACAAAATTAATATTACTTAAAAATAGTATTAAATTATATAGGCATCAAAACGATTATATTATTTGTATTATAGTGATCATGGAGGCTGTATCTCTCTGCGTGGATAGTGTTGGCTCATTAATAAAAACCTTTATTTGCTAAATTTCTTATTTATATTATAACTAGCTATCCGCCCTGGCTTCGCACGTATGTACATGTACATTATAAGTTTATGTTTATACGTTATGTAATAAACTTTCCTCTTGAATCACTCTATCTATTGCTAAAAACTGCATTAAAATCCATTGCGTAGTTTAAAAGATCTAAGCGAACAGATGGCGGAAGAGACTTCTTATTTTTTTGTATAATGATCTTAATAGAAATATCGATATTATGTTAAAATACACAAAAATATAGTGCGAATTGAAAGCCCCTTTCGTTTTGAATGGTAAAATAATTTATCACGGAACTACCAACATTGTATTACTCAAATAAAAACTACAAAAATTATATTACGGTTTAAAGTTCAATTGTATCTAATCTACAAATACTAACAACTTTTGAAAATGTCATTGCGTATTCAAAGAAATGAAGATTGTATGCAAAGATGCAAAGTCACGTGCTAATCGTTAATCAGAATTAAAGATAGCTGGATTAATGGAACGTTAACTAATGATCGAATTCATACGGGGAGCGTGCTTAATTGTTTTATAATATACAACACCACTTAATTAACTATCTATATAGGGGTATATGTACGTAATGAACCTTAAGGGTGTTAAGGACTTAGGTATTCTAGAATGTTTGGTAAAGAAAAGAAAGTAAAGGTTGCAGGCTGCCAAATAGAATAGGAAACCTATGACTTTATCACACATCATGTGTGACGACATATGACCTTTGGAAAATACACACTTTAAACCATGGCAAACCCGGATATTCTTAGAATACCCTAGCAAATATCTCCTTTGAAAAGTACACACACTATCCTGAGGAGATAAAAATTACCATTCCTAAGAATATCCTTCAATTTTTGCCCCTGACTGGCCTAGGCAGCGAATTTAAAAAAAAGGGCGAGCACAACAGATCTGTGGAGGTTGCAGGTCTCTTTACCACCGCGTAAAATATAATACATTTACATTTACTAAATTCCTAGAATAAGCCGAGTAGAGAGATATATTTACGGCAAAATTGAATGTGTTGCTATCGTGCTTAGGTGCAGGGAGACACAAGATCTCTGATTAAAGCTAGAATAAATACTGAGGAATGCTCACATTACAATTTTATTGCGAGAGCACACTCTTCTTTGCATGTTGACAACGGTTACTGTTACCACTTAACAGCAAATGAGTTGTCACCTTGGTTTATAATCAAATCATACACTTAATATGTTAAATACATGTATAATATTTATATAGTTGATTGATATATAGTTGAGATATATTAGTGTCAC